TCAGTGCTTACTCACTCCTTTTGTCTCCCCTTTACTCTTTAAGTAGGAGGGTTCAGGTTTTACTGCATTATGAAGAAAATACATGAACTGCGGTATCTTTTGTTGTAAAACCTTAACAATGGAGCTGGGCTCACAGCTAACCAGCTCAATTTAACATTTATAGAGAAAGTGCAGTGCGATTAATACTCCACTCAGCCTTTACACTCACCGTTTAGGATTCTTTCAGCGTTGCCACTTATGCTGCTCCGTTATGATGTATGGGTCACTGACAGAAGAGATGCTTTACTTCATTCCACTGCTGCATAAGAAGCCACACAGACTTACTTGAGAACGGAACCGCACCAAAGAAATACCACATAAGTGTTTACCAATGGATCCCAGCTCACAGGAACTTTAGTTGTAATGCCAGCAGTATAGGCAAACAGATCGAACATGACACATTATCCAAGGCTGGCAGAAAGCTGTCAAATACATGACTGCAAGAAAATTCGCACTGCAAGGTCTGTGCACTTTAACAGTGCCCATGCCAGACGGACGACCCTGTAAAAAAGAGATGAGACTCTGAGTCGTGTTTATCAGAGTTCACTTGAAAACTTGTAAGGACTGCTGTAAACCAGACACAAGCATCTTAAGTGTCTTGTAAAAAATGATAATTTAAGACATTACATTACAATCTAACTGGGGTTGGAAGGAAGACCCCCTCCATCCCAGCAGCAAAACAAAGCTCTGCACAGTGTGGCTCCTGCACTTGCCTCCTAAATGTTGAGAATGTCTGCAATTCTTTATGATTGTAAGCAGAAAAAGAATCATTTATTTAATTATTTAATTTATAAAAGTTGATAAAATGCCACTCATACATACTCAGACAGGAGTGTTTCGTTTTTGCTTCATAACTGGGTCTTTTTTAGGCAAGAAAAAAAAAATCTATATTAATATGAATTATGAACTCATACAATGACTCACTCTTTTGCAAAGGTAATTATCCCGCCAGACGCAAATGCTCTTCTCCTCTGATGCAGTGTGTATGCAGTCAGGTTGATAAGCATGGAGGAGCCTGAAGAGAAAAGGAGGTTGTTATATTAGGACATTATATGGATATTATTACTTGAGGAAAGTAAGAATTACAGAATGCTTACTGCTGACTTATGTGATATTCCATTACATTGTGAATTGCCACCTTCTGCCTGTATTTTGTGTGTTCCATTAATTGACACATTTCCATAATATATTGATGTGCACATATTGCATAAATTTCTGCGTATCAATATGTGATAGAAAAGTCTTACTGAGATTACCTCCATATATTTTATGCACAAATCGCATAAAGATTTGATGCACAAATTGTATAAAATTTTTATGCACCAATTTTAGGCACAAATTGGTGCATAAAAATGAGCCATAATGCAGTAACTGAAGGATATGATGCTTGAAATATCCACGAGGAGCCCCTCTAGATGCCAGTTTTATGCATCCATGCCAATGTTCCATTAAAACCTACACAAATGCATACTGCTGACAGGACATAAAAAGTTCCTGAACTTAGTGGACAAGGGAGCATGGCAATCATACAGAGATCATACATATATCTCTGGACAAAAGTGTTGAGCCATGCCTCTTAATTTAAATAACCAGAGGAACTCAGCCACCAAGTGGACGACCAAAATTAAAATTACAGAGCACGGTCGCCAAGCACTGAGGTGCATAGCAATCCCC